CAAGGCAACAAGGCCAAGGAAAGGCAAGCGAAAGCAAGCAAACCAGCCAAGGGAAAGGCAAGCGAAAGCAAGCAACAGCCAAGGAAGCAAGCGAAAGCAAGCAACAGCCAAGGAAAGGCAAGCGAAAGAAGCAAACAGCCAAGGGAAAGGCCAAGCGAAAGCAACAACAGCCAAGGGAAAGGCAAGCAAAAGCAAGCAAAGCAAGGGAACAGCCAAGGGAAAGGCAAGCGAAAGCAAGCAAGAGCCAAGGGAAAGGCAAGAAAATGCACAGCAACAGCCAAGGGAAAGGGCAAGCGACAAAAGAACGCCAACAGCCAAGGAAAGGCAAGCCGAAATCAACACAACAGCACAAAGTGAAAAGGCAAGCCGGAAAGACCAAGCAACAGCCAAGGGGAAAGGCAAGTGCCAAAGCACGCAACAGCCAAGGGAAAGGCAAGTGAAAGCAAGCAACAGCCAAGGGAAGGGAAAGGCGGAAAGGCAAGCAACAGCCAAGAAGAAAGGCAAGCGAAAGGAAAGCAAAGCCAAGGAAAAAGCAAGGGAAAGCAAGCAACAGCCAAGGGAAAAGGCAAGCGAAAAGGCACGCAACAGCCAAGGGAAAGGCAAGCGAAAGCAAACAACAGCCAAGGGAAAGGCAAGCGAAAGAAAGCAACAGCCAAGGGAAAGGCAAGCGAAAGAAAGCAACAGCCAAGGGAAGGGCAAGCAACAGCCAAGGGAAAGGCAAGCGAAAGCAAGCAACAGCCAAGGGAAGGGCAAGCGAAAGCAAGCAATTGCCAAGGGAAAGGCAAGCGAAAGCAAGCAACAGCCAAGGGAATGGCAAGAAAAAGAACGCAACAGCCCAAGGGAAGGTCAAGCGAAAGCAAGCAACAGCCAACGGAAAGGCAAGCGAAAGCAAGCAACAGCCAAGGGAAAGGTAAGCGAAAGCAAGCAACAGCCAAGGGAAAGGCAAGCGAAAGCAAGCAACAGCCAAGGGAAAGGCAAGCCAAAGCAAGCAATAGCCAAGGGAAAGGCAAGCGAAAACAAGCAACAGCCAAGGGAAAGGCAAACGAAAAAACGCAACAGCCAAGGGAAAGGCAAGCGAAAGCAAGCAACAGCCAAGGGAAAGGCAAGCGAAAGCAAGCAATAGCCAAGGGAAAGGCAAGGGAAAGCAAGCACAAGCCAAGGGAAAGGCAAGCGAAAGCAAGCAACAGCCAAGGGAAAGGCAAGCGAAAGCAAGCAACAGCCAAGGGAAAGGCAAGCGAAAGCAAGCAACAGCCAAGGGAAAGGCAAGCGAAAGCAAGCAACAGCCAAGGGAAAGGCAAGCGAAAGCAAGCAACAGCCAAGGGAAAGGCAAGCCAAAGCAAGCAATAGCCAAGGGAATGGCAAGCAAAAACAAGCAACAGCCAAGGGAAAGGCAAACGAAAAAAATGCAACAGCCAAGGGAAAGGCAAGCGAAAGCAAGCAACAGCCAAGGGAAAGGCAAGCGAATGCAAGCAACAGCCAAGGAAAAGGCAAGCGAAAGCAAGCAACAGCCAAGGGAAAGGCAAGCGAAAGCAAGCAACAGCCAAGGGAAAGGCAAGCGAAAGAACGCAACAGCCAAGGGAAAGGCAAGCAAAAGCAAGCAACTGCCAAGGAAAAGGCAAGCAAAAGCAAGCAACAGCCTATGAAATTGTGACGAATGGACAGAGAAGGGAGAATGGAATGGTGGCGTGCAGGGAAAGGGAAGGGTAGGGTGGAAAGGGACGAACAAAGAGGGGAAAGAGATAGAAGCGATGAAAATAGAGAAAGGGGGAAGAGAGTCGTGAGAGGTCGAGAAAGCATAAAATCCGAAGAGAGGAGCGAAGAAGGGTTAGACGAACAAAAAAATAGTGGGCAGAGATCAGAGGCAAGTAAAATAGAGGAATGGAACCTGGAGATGTACTCCCCACAAATATGTGCTCAGGCTGTACACTTGTAACGATTGTGCTTACAGCCAAGTGACTTAGTGAATTTGTTAACCGAGAATTACAACCCCAACCGAGATAAGTTGGTGACAGAGAATGAAAAGCCAAGAGAGAAGCTGGAGGTTGCAAGGTAAAGCTGAAGCGTACATCAGATAGCAAAGTAGAAAAAAGTGTAGTGGAAGGTATCGAAGAGACAAGTAAAAGGCAGAGGAAATGGAAAAACAGAGGGTGTACAAAAGAAATAAAGACTAGAGGGAAAGGAAAGAATACAAAACTACGAAAGGTAAGTACCAGAAAAAACCAAGCAATCAAGGAACCATGCTATGTAACTACTCAAGAAATCTCACGTGCTACTACTCCCTGGTGAAATGTCGGCCCGGAGAAGGAGAGAGAAGAGATGTGAAGGGAAGGAGAGAAAGGAGGAGGAGGGAGGTGAGGTGGGGAGGGATGTGAGAGGAGGTGCAGTGCACGCAAGGGGCGAGGGAGGCGCGGACGACCGTCGGCAGCGGCGTGCGCGATGGACAGCTAGATGGCGCGCGACGACGAGGAGCCGAAGGTGAAGAGGCGCACGGCAGGCGGGCGGTGCGCGCAACGAACGGGCTAGGGCGGTGGGCAAGTGGGAGGTGAAAAAAAAAAAAACGAAATGTGAGAGGGAGAAAGTAGGCAAGGAGACACGAGTTTAAGCGTAGTCATTAGAGAAGTGACGTAAGTAGAGAAAGAGGAAATCGTATGGAAGTGCTCAATGGGGGGAGCCCATGGCAAACTTTTTTAACATTGCCTAGGATTAGGCTCTAAATTCCATGCTAAACTAGGGGCCTAGGCTAGGTAGGTAGGTGAGAGGAAGACTGCCTAGTGAGTATCGAGAAAGACTGGCTAGGCAAGTTCTAAACAATGTTGGGCAAAAACCCAATCCTGACCTAGGGCTGTTCAGTGAAGTCTAAAACAGCAAAAGTGAACCTAAACTGAAACTAAGTAGGAAGCAAGTTGGAAGATGGCGAGAATATCATATGAGGCTATAATAAATAGGAGAGAAAAATCCCCCGTACTCCCAATATCTCAACCATCTTCTTGTAAGCACGCTTTGTTGGTTGTATTATATCTTCTTCTATGGCAATTCTTATGCCCATCTTATATGCATATCTTTCGTTTCCTATCATTGTCTGTAAACAATTATTAGTCTTTTAGTGTGATTTAAAGAATTCATATGCATCGATAGGCTAATATAAATACATACATGTAAATTAATCATTACAAATGGATGCTGTGTCAAACATGTGTATCTCTAATGTTTGTATAGACTGTATAGGGTCACCTCTTTGAGGGTACAACACTTAGGTATATTCTCTTGTACTCTCTCACTACTCTATCATTATTGAGTTCTAAGATGGTATCAGCAGTAGGTAGGTCCCCGCCGCCCGCCCACGCTTCCGCTCTAGGACCTAGCCGTGCCCTAGCCGCCCATCCTAGCCGCCCCACCTAGTCGCGCCGCGCGCCCGCCCTAGCAGGCCCCGCGCTCGTCCTAGTGGGCCCCCGCGCCCATCCTACTGGCCCCCGCGCTCGCCCTTGCAGGCCCCGCGCCCGTCCTAGAGGGCCCCCGCGCCCGTCCTACTGGCCCCCCCGCCCGTCCTAGCCGACCCCGCGCCCGTCCTACCGGCCCCCGTGCCAGTCCTTACGGCCTCCGCGCCCGTCCTTGCCGACTCCGCGCCCGTCCTACCGCCCCCCCGTGCCCGTCCTTACGGCCCCCGCGCCCGTCCTAACTGGCCCCTGCGCCCGTCCTTACGGCCCCCGCGCTCGTCCTAGTGGGCCCCGCACCCGGCCTAGCTGGCCCCGTGCTTGTCCTCACGGCCCCTGCGCCCGTCCTAGCCGACCCTGCGCCCGTTCTACCGGCTCCCGCGCCCGTCCCAGCCGGCCCCGCGCCCGTCCGACCTGGCCCCCGCGCCCGTCCTCGCAGGCGCGGCGCCCGCCGTTCCTGGCCCCCGCGCACGTTCTGCCAACCCCTACGCGCGCCCTGCCCGTCGACCTCCGGCCTCGTGCTCACCTGCCCGCCGAACTGCCGCCGCTCTGCATTCGGCCCGCTCTTCGTGCCTGCTCCGGCCCTGCACCTTCCCTGGTATGGTTCTCCATCATCTTTCACCGCACTGCACCGCCCTGCACTGCACTGTACCGCGCTGCACCGCACTGCACCGCACTGCACCGCCCTTCACCGCACTGTACCGCGCTGCACCGCACTGCACCGCACTGTACCGCCCTGCACCGCACTGCACTGCACCGCGCCGCGCTGCCTCTCTTGGTCCCGCCCTGCACTACTCCTGATGGCGGTGGAGCTTCGCTTCGACGCTGAAGGCCAGCCTCTGGAGTTCGAGGCGTGGCTAGCCGACCTCCGCCGCCACCTCACTGGCCAGCGGCAGGATGGCCACTCGCTTTCGGCACACCTTGACGATACGCTCCCCTGCCCAGACCCCCTTGCTGTGCTGCCCGCTGACCCCACACCCGCTGAGCGCGAGTCTACTGCAGCCGCTGCCCTTGCTCGCTCTGTCTGGCTTTCCCGAGACGCTGTCGCACAGCTTGCCATTAGCAATGCCCTCCCCCCGTCTGAGCGCCCTCGCTTTAGGTCCATCACTACCACCCACGCTTTCTTAGATGCTGTCATCAAGCGCTATTCCACCCCGCCTGCTGCCTCGGTGGGTCGCCTGATCCTCCCAATGCTCTTTCCTGACCTTGCGTCTTTCCCCACTATTGCTGACCTGGCTGTTCACCTGCGCACGATAGATGAGACCTGGCACGCTGCCTTCACTGACGCACAGCTTAGAGCCCACCAGCCGCCCATTACCTCTACCCTCTACATGCTTGCCACCCGCCTCCCTGACCGCCTTGCCGCCGCCCGTGACCGCTTCCTTAGCATTCATCCCGGTGACCTCACCCTCACAGACATTGTAGACACCCTGACTGTTATTGAGACCCGCCATCGCTCTATCGCCCAGGCGAGCGGTACTGTGCCGGCCCCTATCTTTCAGGGTTGTGCCCCCGCTCAGTGCACCTTCTCCGATGGTTCTGCCGCTGTGGCTGAGACTGCTGCTGCAGCGCAGTTCCGTTCGGGGAAGGGCCGCCGCCCCAAGGCTGGGCGCGGCGGAGGAGGAGGGGGTGCAGGTGGGGGTGGTGGTGGAGTCGGGTCGTCTGGTGCTGGAGTGGACGAGGGGACCCTGCCAGGTCCAGCTGAGCAGCCGCCTCAGCAGTCGCAGCAGCAGCAGCAGCAGCAGCAGCAGCCGCAGCAGCCACAGCAGCCGCAGCAGCAGCAGCAGCAGCAGCCGCAGTAGTCGCCGCAGACAAGGTAGGCGAGTGCCCTCCCGCCCGGGTGGCCTGGCGCTGGTGGTGGTCGTGCGCGTGGTGGTGTGTCGGGTGGTGGTTCGGGAGGAGTGCGCTGTCAGTAGCAGATCCAGACCGGTCCTCACCGCGGCTTCGTTTGCGGTAAGATCGGTCATACCACTACTCGTTGTTTTCATCGCCTGGACGACCTGTTTCGTCAGCGCTTCGGCTCGTCGCCCGACCTCCCGGACTGGCACAGTTTGCTTAGTCGTAGGGTTCAGATTTTTTACATGGACATGGATGCCATTGTTTCTGCCCTGCATGTGATGTATGCTGATGACTCTAGTGTGCTTCCCGCTTATTACTCCTTGTCGTCCAGTGTAGGCGTGCCTAGCTTAGCCTCCCCTGCTGCGTCAGGCGTAGGAGCTCCTGCTTTGTTTAGTCTTGGTGCTTCCGCCGTCGCCCCATCGCCATACGCCACTGCTTCGCTTTCCTTCACCTTGGACTCTGGCGCTTCCCGGTGCTTCTTCCGCGACTCCACTACGCTGACGCCGCATCCTGATCCTGCTGCAGTTTCTCTTGCTGACCCCTCCGGCGGTCCAGTAGTCGCCCGCAGTTCCACCACCCTTCCCTGTCCGGCGGTTCCTTCGGGCTCTCTCACAGGTCTGCATATCCCCTCGTTCTCCAAGAACCTAGTTGGTATCGGCTGCCTCCAGAACCTTGGCGTCACCACTACGTTCCCTGGTCACGAGCGGTATGCTGTCTGTACCGAGCCCGCCACTGGTGCCCCCCTGTCCACGTTCCCCCGGGACCCGGTGTCCGGCCTGTTCACCCTGGACAGCGTGACCCCTCCGGCTGGGGCGCCCCCTTAGGTGGCTGCGTCTACCTAGGTTGCTGCTGCCTGCTCCTGTCGGTCCCTCACTCACCCGACTCTCCTTTGGCACCATCGCCTAGGTCACCCTGCGCTCCCGCGTCTGCGTCACATGTCCCAGCATGGTCTCGTCCTCGGTCTCCCTAGTTCATTCCCCGCGTTTCCCTCCTCCCCTGCCCCACCTTGCACGCCTTGCGTCGAGGGTCGGCTTCGCCGTGCCCCTCACTCCTCCTCGTTTCCCCCTACCGCCGCACCGCTGCAGACCCTGCACATGGACGTCTGGGGCACTGCCCCCGTCCATGGACCGCGTCGAGAGCGCTACTTCCTCGTGCTTGTCGACGACTTCACTCGCTACACCACAGTCTTTCCCTTGGAGCGAAAGGCCGATGTGCCTGACGCTCTCATCCCCTGGCTTAACTCTGCCCGTGTCCACCGAGGTCTCCCTGTGTTGCGTCTTCACTCCGACCGTGGTGGCGAGTTTGCCTCAGGTGTCCTTGGTCGCTTCTGTCGTGCGGAGGGCATCACCCAGACGTTCACCCTGCCGGACTCCCCACAGCAGAATGGGGTCGCTGAGCAACGCATCGATTTGGTCATGGAGGTGGCTCGCACCTTCATGATCCATGCCGGTGCACCCCATTTTCTATGGCCGTTCGCCGTGCGCTACGCTGCTCACCAGCTTAACCTGTGGTCGCACCCCCAGCAGCTGCAGGTTTCGCCGACCCTTCTTTGTACCGGGTCTCCTGGTGTCGCGTCTGCGTTCCACGTCTGGGGCTGCCTTGCTCACGTTCGTGCCTCCGGCACGGACAAGCTCACTGCCCGCACCCTTCCCTGTGTCTTCCTAGGTTTTCCCCTTGACGCGTCCCACTGGCACTTCTACCACCCGCCGTCTCACCGTTTCTTTCACTCTCGCGACGTCACCTTTGACGAGTCTGTCTCCTACCGTCGCTTCCCCCACCGCGGTCCCCCGGTTACTCCCCCCTATTCCTGGTCACTCCTTCCCTGGTGGTCCCTGCCCCCCCCCCCCTCCCCCTCCCCGTCCTGCCCCCTCTGGTGTGTCCCACGTCACCCCTCTCCCGTCGGTTGTCCCGGTTGAGGAGTCTTCTGACTCGAGTGGTCCTACGGCGCAGTCCTCACCGTCTGCCCCTCCCCATGCGTCTCCTCCTCCACCGCTTCTGCAGCCGCTGTCGCCTCTGCTGTCACCGCCATCGTCACCTCCGCCGCCGCCACCGCACCCGTCGTTGCCGCTGCAGCCGCCGCCGCCGTCGCAGCAGCCGTTCGTTGCCTCTGGGGGTGCTGGCGTTGGAGTGGGTGCTTGTCCCGGTGGACCAGGGGGTGGTATCAGTGCTCGAGGGGTTTCGGGCCCTGGGGGTGTTCATTCTGGGGGTGCTGGAGTGGAGTGTGCTGATGGTAGCCGAGGAGCAGCTTGCGGTCCCGGTGTCGGCGTTGTGCCACCGCAACAGCAGTCCCCGCCGGTGTCAGCCCTTTGCCTGCTTGGCCTTCTGTCCCCTAACCCTGCGTCTATTCCTCTCCTGCCGTCTCCTCCTCTTCCCGTTTACGGCCCCGTGTTCCCTCCGCCAGACTCGTCCCCGGCTCGTCTTCCCCCTCGCTCTCCCCTTGTGTCCCCTCCTCTGTCTCCTGACCCGACTCCTCCGTCTCACGTCTGGTCTCGCCGTCCCTCCCGTGCTCGTCCTGTCTCCCCTATCTTGCGCTCTCACCCTATGTTGCTCCGTTCCCACGCGTCTTGTCCTCCCCTTCTCCCGTCACCTCCTCCGTCCTCCCTTGTCGTTGCTCCCCCCCCTCTGTCTGACTACCTTCGTGCCGCCCATCCTCTTGTTCCTCGGGTCCTTGCCTCTCTCATTACCGACCCGTCTGTTCCGGTTTCGACCCTTGACGCCCTTGTAGCTGCGGTTGCTGACTTCGCCTCTACCTGCCGCCTTGACTACGCCACAGCTCTGGTCTCTGACCATGCGTGTCCTCCGTCTGTCGGGGGTGCTCCTGCCCTCAGCAGTGACGTCCTGGAGGACCGCCAGTTTGAGCTTGCTTTCCTGTCCGAGGCTGCTCCCCATCTCTGTTCCATGCTGCTAGTCCCTGAGGGTGACCCAGACGCTTTCGACATCCCGACCCCTCGCACTTACGCTGAGGCGACCTCGGGACCCTGGGCCTCCCAGTGGATAGCTGCCATGGAGCAGGAGATGGCATCTTGGAGATCCACCGGCACCTTCGTCGACGCAGTTCCCCCACCTGGGGTGAACGTAGTCGATGGATGGTGGCTCTTCAAGGTGAAGTGCCCTCCTGGAGAGCTGCCTGTGTTCAAGGCGCGCTACGTGGCTAGAGGTTTCAGTCAGCGTGAGGGGGTGGACTTCTTCCAGACCTTCGCTCTGACCCCGAAGATGACTACTCTTTGGGTTCTGCTACACCTTGCAGCTCAGCGTGACAACGAGCTTCACTCCCTCGACTTCTCCACTGCCTTCCTTCAGGGCAGCCTACATGAGCAGGTCTACCTGCGTCGCCCTCAGGGCTTTACTGGCACCTTCCTTCTTGGGACCCAGTGGCTCCTGTGGCGTCCCGTCTACGGCCTGCGACAGGCTCCTCGTGAGTGGCACGACATGCTGGGTGCTACCCTTGCTGACCTGCAGTTCTTTTTGTCCTCTGTAGACCCCTCACTCTTCGTTCGTGGTGTCCAGACTCTGTTCTACATCCTTGTGCACGTGGACGATCTGGTCTTTGCCACAGCAGACAGGGACGCACTGGCCTCCGTGAAGGCTGAGCTGCTGAAGAGACACACTTGCACTGACCGTGGAGAACTGCGCTGTTACCTTGGCTTGCAGATCTTCGGGGACAGAGCAGCGCGCACCATCACCTTGACTCAGTCACACTTGGTGCGCCAGGTCCTTTAGAGGTTCGGCCTTCAGTTCTCCTATGCACAGCCCACCCCTCTGCCTCTAGACCACAGACTCTCCGCTCCAGTTCTTGAGGAGTCAGTAGAGCCCAGTGGTCCTTACTCTGAGCTGGTGGGTTGCCTCATGTACACGAAGACTTGCACTCGCCCAGATTTCGCATACCCTCTGAGCATCCTGGCTCGCTTTGTGGCCACAGGCAGACACCGACCGCAGCACTGGTCTGCCGCTAACAGGATTTTGCGTTATCTTGCAAGTACATCGGGCATGGGGTTAGTGCTAGGAGGACGCAGGCCAGTGGTCCTTACTGGACACACAGATGATTCTTGGGAAGACGACGCCGAGACACTCAGGTCTTCCCAGGGCTACTGCTTCAGCCTTGGTTCAGGTGCCGTCTCGTGGAGAGCTACCCGCTCCTAGTATGTTGCCCAGTCCAGCTGTGAGGCCGAGATCTACGCTGGTGCCATGGCGGCAGAGGAGCTCCGCTGGCTAACCTTCTTGCTCACTGACTTAGGTGAGCGGCCTAGCTGTGCCTCAGTCCTATACGCTGGCAACAGGGCCATGATCCTCCTGTGTCAGGAGCCTCGACTCGAGGGCAGAGCAAAGCATATTCAGCTGTGGTACTTCCTCCTGCGCAAGCTACAGCAGCGCCGGCAGGCTCGCGTAGTACACTTGGACTCCGGTGCCAACACAGCTGATATCTTTACGAAGGCGCTTGCGCCTAAAGATCATCAGCGGCACTGTGTACAGATCGGTCTAGTTTTTGTAGCCTCTCACTTGCTAGGGCCTTGACTTTGTACTATCCTATATATCTATATGTACTCAGACTGGACTTGTGTCCTCTCCCAGTGGCTGGACTAGTAGTGCCGCCCTGGTCTTGTTCTTGCCTTGCCTGTACTCCATTTGACTGGTCTTTAGACCCCTGTGTCAGTGGCTGGACTAGTAGTGCCGCCCTGAGCTGCTTGTTCAGGACCTGCCCCTATGCAGTCTAGGGGGTGTGTCAAACATGTGTTTGTATAGACTGTATAGGGTCACCTCTTAGAGGGTACAATACTTAGGTATATTCTCTTGTACTCTCTCACTACTCTATCATTATTGGGTTCTAAGATGCTGCACTTTTACACAATTCTTAATATGCATATAATCATACTGAAATGAGCTGTAGCTAATAATGCACAATATTAACACTCATTAATATGCATGTATTCATGACGTATTGACTTTATATACAGTGGCGGAAACAATTGTCCACATGTTTAGCAT